TTCGGCAGAACAAGCGCCCAAGCAACCCAAGCATCCTTGCAACACAGGAAGCGACATCCTCCACGTGCGGTAAAAACGTAGTCTGCTATCAAAAGTTACACCGAGATCTATGATAGAAGTCAACTTAAGCAGTGAGGTTCCACCTATACAGTAGGATAAATGGATAGGAGTATATCTACGCGTAAACGTAACAGCACCACATTTCTCCACATTAATCCTGAGCTGATTACGATCGCACNTGCTGGTTATTGGAAGGAGATTGCGAGGAGAGAGCTAACAGATACTGGATGGCCGATGAGGAGAGGTGGTGTAGGCTGTGCATGGAGGAATGGGAAACGTTGGAACATATTATGTTGAATGGGTGCAGTGAGTTGAGGGAGGAGGACATGGACCGAGGGCAGATTTTAGGAGATTGGGGAGAGAGGAGACGATGGATGAGAATGGTCGTGGCGGTGAGGAGACAAGGGGATGATTGGGCCGAGGAGCCGAGAGTGTGGAAATGGAGAAAGAGGGTAGAGGGTGAAAATAATATTTTAATAATAATAACAATGTTACGATTGGATGAATCCAACCTAACTTAATCAACAATGATATTCTTTAATACATGTATACAAATTTGCACGAGCTATGGTTTCTAGGAAATCAACAGTTTTGAGTCAGAAACCTGAAAATATTACAGCATTGATAATCAAGGTTTATCATAACCACGTCTCTCACTTGATTCATTTATCCCATAGCAAAAATGTCTGTAAACAGCAAAAGTAAGACAAAGAAGTCTTTTTTGTATCTAAACTATATCACGCTTTAATAATAATAATAATAATAATATGTATCTTTATTTTCAAACAAAGTACCAATTACAAGACAATATTATACTAAACAGAAAAACAAACTGCACATTCTTCGTAGCGGAGCGCTAGCCTGCACGTTGGCTCTACTATTCTTCAAATAGAAGACATAGCTCTATCGGGTAGCGTGGCTGAGTACACTGAAGTTAATGCAAGAAAGTAACCAGTTACAATCTATTTCACCACTCACCAGTTTTATAATAAATTTAACGTCGAGATTGTCCCTTCGAGTATCAAGCGAAGAAAAATGATGACGTTGCAACAAAGATACTTTAAAAACCTTTTTTGAATTCTCTTTAATATAAGATGATGCGAGATATAATGGGGTAACCATACAACGGAACCATACTCCAGTTTCGGCAGAACAAGCGCCCAAGCAACCCAAGCATCCTTGCAACACAGGAAGCGACATCCTCCACGTGCGGTAAAAACGTAGTCTGCTATCAAAAGTTACACCGAGATCTATGATAGAAGTCAACTTAAGCAGTGAGGTTCCACCTATACAGTAGGATAAATGGATAGGAGTATATCTACGCGTAAACGTAACAGCACCACATTTCTCCACATTAATCCTGAGCTGATTACGATCGCACCATTCCATCAAGATATCAAGATCCGACTGCATCGAAGCCACATCTTCATCCGAGGTCATAGTACGAAATATCTTAAGATCATCAGCATAGGCTAATATCTGTTTAATAAGTAGTTAATAAATATTGCAAACGGTAGTGGACCCAAATTAGAGCCCTGTGGGACCACCGCAGCAAAGCCATTATAAAATACATAACTGGCTCTATTTGACAAATACGATGAAACAAGACATATGAGCCCAGGGGAAAAGCCAAACATACTGAGCTTCAAACGCCTTGGAAAAGACAGTAGAAGAAGTGGATATAATGTACACTACATCCACTTGACCACCACCCCCATCCAGGAATCCACATACATATTATTTCTGTAATCACCGCAAGATTAGTAACGGTTGAACAGCGCTTAGTAAACTCATGCTGGTGCGGCGATACAAACGATTGAACTTGCGGATAAATAGCTCCATAGATGATTTGCTCAAATACTTTAGCGAAGTTAGATATTATGGAGATGGGACGATAATCAGCAATGTTGTTATGATCACCACGTTTGAAAGCGGGAATTATCCGCGATCGCTTCCAGATGTTAGGAAACTCACCTGTCTTTAGACACAAGTTGAGAAAATTGCGCTACAGTGATGAATAAAAAAAGGAAGGTTATCATCACCAGCTGTAAATTTGTTCGGCAACTTCTTAAGAAGATCAAGAACCTGTTCCACAGTGGTACTCTTAAAAATGATAGATGGATAGATAAATAGACCACCAAAAACTCCCGAAAAGTAATCGGCAAAAGCATTAACTATATTAAGGGGAGTAGGAGCACCCGTCCAAAATCATTTCACCAGAGAGTCGTCTAGTCATAGTTCTATGCCTAACATAATTCCAGAAGCTACGAGGATCCGAACATAGTGACTGCTCAGCATTACTTGTAAAGGCTATACAGGGTGTCTCAGCGAGACCGGTCATTAGACGTTTCTGGTGTTCTGGCCTAAATAGAATTTAAATGGAACACCCTGTATATTTTTACATATTTGGATTTGTCTGTTTTGAAGGTTTATAAATAACTTTACTTTTTGCAATTTGATTCGGCCGTTCTCGAGTTAATCGAATTTTTCTAGAAAAATCTGCTCCAGCGGACATTTGTTCAAAAAATCATAGAACACTCGATTTTTGAGATATCAATTTAGGATTCAGAACATG